CAATTAATAAATACAATTAAATTACTTTCGGCTACAGCTATTTAATCGATTATATAAATATCGAGTGATTTTTTTTCATGTAAATTAGCCTATTAATTCATTTTTAATATAGAATAAAAAATTTAAATGTATTGACAAAAATCATTTTACTTAAAATTTTCTTTAAGATTGCGTGAAATAAATTCTTGCATTATTAGTTGTTCGTAAAAAACAAAAAAAAATCTACAATTATTTTAATAACCTACAAGGATAAAAACTTCATTAGATTTTAAAATTGATATAAGATCCAATTAGTTTACAAGATTAAACAAGAATAAATGTCATTGATAATGAAGTGTTCATAATAATCAGATTTACTGAAATAAATTACGTATTCCTCTGTGGTTTTTTTTTTTTACTCTGAATTTTGATATTTGTCTCAATTACACAGATTCAATTTATTCTAGATCACTAAAAAATCTATAAATATTATATTTCTTTTTTGTCGCTCGAAATTAGATACGCCCTAGTTCCCGTGTGAAACTGATATTTGAACCGGAATTGAATTATGTGCATTGACACAGATATTAAGTGAAAAATTGTAAGTGCAATTTTTAATAGCTTAAAATAGGACATCATTTACTATGAAATATAGGTTATTTAATTACATAAATATCTTTGTTCTTCTTGTTAATATTAGGTGGAAAACACAGCAAAAAAAATCTCATTGAAAAATGCCGTCGATAAAGATTTTTTAGAGAAAATTATATGTAATAAAATGATACCGTGTTTGAAATCAAAAAGACTTTTTTTTTGTAGCAAAAATTCTTTCATCCATAATGTCTATATAGCATTATTAACACAAATATTTCCAACTAGAGCTAATGATTTTCTAGATAAAATTCTTTTTTTTTATTCGCGATATAACAATACTTTATCAGGATGTTTTGTTGAGATCTAATATTGAATTTTTTTTACATGAGATAATACCTCTCGAATGAAAGCAGTGTTTCTACATCTGTTTTATTTGATATACAATAAAGACAAAAAACTCGATGTGATTTAATAATAAAAAAAAAAAAAAACGAGGAAAACAATAATAGAAGTTGAATTTAATTGATCATTTATAATCTTCATTAATACCTCAAATTTGATTTATGTTTAGCAATGAATCTAAAGAAAACAACAAAAAAAAAAAATATTCAAAAGATAAAAAACATGAACATACTGATCAAGTGAATCCCAAAATGTTCGTATACGAGCACAATCAAGATGACGTTTATTTTGATCTAATTCAATTAAATGTACAGACCATTTTGCTATATTAGCATCAGTTTTTAATTGAGCCCATTTAATATGATATGCTTTAACTAATGCAAAACACAAAAAAAAAATTTTCTTTTTTTTTTTTGTTTTTTAATTTACTTTTTTGAAAAATTTCCACCGGATTTCCTGACCATGGCCAACCTTTAAATTGCCAAGCTGGTCCTTGTGCAAATACAGCAACAACACGTTCTTCCCTATACAAAAAAAAAAAAACTATTTCATATTTATTCATAATCATGCATAAATATTAATTAATCAGATTCATTTGTTTTTCTCAATGATAGAATAATCATCAAAAGTACGCTTATTTACTAAGCAAACATTTATTCTTTATTTAATAATATAAATGTCTTTGTTCCTCTTGATAGTAAAAATTCGAAATCTATTTTACTGTGAACCAAATAAAATTTCATCTTTTATTAAACTTGCACAATTTTTTTTGTGACTCGAAATTTTCTATCTAAACCTTAAAGTTTTCTAGATAAATCTCAATCGAGAAATATTTTTATTGATGAACAAATTTTATATTAGAAATCAACATCGAATAATATATTATGTTATTTGAGAATATTTTTTTTTTTTACCAATCTTGTTTTGTTAATCGAAGAGGATCATCAGTTATTCTATATGGTACTGTAAAATTTCCTTTTTTACGTTGTATTAATATATCACCATCACGTTTTGTACCACTTGCTTTACCTTCTTCTGTTGATATAAATCTAAATATAACAAAAAAAAAAGAATCACAAAAAAAATCTATGATTTTATAATTTACTTTAAATCTTCAAATAATTCTTTACAATTATATCTTGTTATTAATGATGTTAATGCTGGTGGAATAATAATAATTGGTGTACGTGATGGACGTTTTGATGTATCAGTATTTGATGTATTTAATTTATCATTTATAGGTGTAATAGGTTTAGATATTGAAGAATTTGTTGTTGACTTAAACAACAAAACATTATAAAAAAATTTTTTAATCAAAAAAAAATTCTTACAAGTAATTTATTTGGTGTTGCACCTTCTGTAACTGTTTTTAATGTTAAACCATGATATGAAGCATGTGTATCAATTTTAAATTCTGAATCATCTCTTTGAACAAATTTTTCTTGATGATATCGTGAATAACCTTCAAGTGGTACACGAGTTGTTGTCTAGCAAAAAAAAAAATAGATGAAGTTTTTAAATTCAAAAATATTTTTTTTTTTTTACATCACGAATAGGTGATCGTTGTGCAGCAAGTGCTTCTTGTTTTTGTTCACTTTCTTCTTTAGCTTTAATTGAATTTAATATTAAAAGAATATTTTTTGCAAAATTCTTAATTGAAAAAAAAAAAAAGAATTTTTTTGTGAATAAAAAAATAATCATTAAGTTTTTTTTTACTTTATTTGAACTTTGTAAAACAGTTGTACGATTTCTCCATGTACGTTCACGTTTCATTATTTCAAATGTATCAGCTGTTATTGGTAATGGTTCTGTACTTGGTTCTGGTGTATCTTCATTTTCTTTTAAATCAACAATTTTATCACGAGCTGTTGCACGAATTTTTGCACGTAATTTAAGTATTGCTTCTGTTGATAATTCACCTGATAATGGACGTATTTGATCAGCAGTTATTTCTTTATTTTTTTCATCAAATTTTTTTTCTCGACGATCTTTTAATTTTTGCATATCATCATCTTCAACACGTGCAAGTTTTGCATTATCTAAACGAGGATCTTCTGCTGGTCGTTTATTGACTAGACAAAAAAAAGAAAAATTTCTAGTATTAACTATTTAAAATTATACAAATTTTGTATAATATTACCTTGTAATGGTCGTTGCATAGCAATTTCCAATGGAGCATTTCTATCAATACGATCAGCTGTATGTGCTTGTCCATTTAAATAAGCTAATAGATCTTTACGATCAGGACGACTTATCGCTGGTATACCTTTTTCCTATAAGAAAATTTTAATAATTAAATTTATAATTATAATATATATATATATACAGCTGCTTTTTTAACATAATTTGCATGTTGTAAATCAACATTTTTTAATAGAAAAACAATACTTTCAAGTGTATAATAATCTTTTGGTGTATTATCTTTACCAGTACTAAATATAGACAAAAATAAATATTTAACAAAGTAAAAAATAAAAAAAAACAAACCCATAAACAAGATAATTTGTTTTAATATCTTTTGTATATGCAAGATCATTAAATACAAATCGATCATTTTCAATTGTATATTCTTTATTTTCAATTGTAAATTGACGAAGAAGACTTAATGCATCAGCCATTTTAAATATCTATAAAAAAAATAAATTTTTCTTTTTGTAATACAGCGAAATCATAGAAATAAATAAATTAATTTTTTTCCTATTGGTCTATTATTATTATCCAATCAATAATAATGTTAAGCGCTACTTTCGTCGTTAAAATTGAACCATTGAGCATTTATTTTTATCGATGTGATAGTTGGAGAATATATTTATTATTTATTTTTTTTTATTAAATAATTAAAAAATTATTTTCTATAAATATTTAACAAAAAAATATACTTTTTTTTATTTTTTTCTTTATTTTATAGATTTATTTGAACATTTATGAACGCATTATATGTTAAATAGAAGAAATAGAGAACGATTTATTGTAGAGGACCAAGAGTCGGACAAATGTTGCTCTCCAAGGTTAATAACATTCAACGAAGCGGCGGCGACAGCAGCCGCTTGTCTGTTTGTTCAAGGCAATTGCGAAAAAAGAAAAAGAAGAGAAGAAAGACCTCTCCTATTCATATACATACACATACAGGGTCGATTGCGATGAACGTAAATGGATCTGTTCTTTCTTTCTTTTTTTTCTTTTACTTTTATATAACATATGCATACATATGCATATGTCGATAGGATGGAAAAGAAAAAAAAAAGAAAAACGAGAGATGTTCAGTTTGGAAGCAACCTTGGTTTAGAAGGTCATTAGAGGTCGTGACAAGGTTGCTGATAGCACAAAAGGAACAGCCAACATATATGTGTGTATGTGATAACGATACGGTAAAAATCAATAAAACGTTATATAGTCGCGTTGAACTACTTCGTATTCTTTCTTTTTTTTTTTTTTTTTTTTTTCGTTTCTTCATCTTCTTTTTAGATGTTTGCCATAAAGGCACTTGCCCACTTGTGTACTACTCGATCAAGTAAATACATTAATAATATAATCTAATCTTTTAAAACAATTTATATTCTTAGTTCTACGTTTTTCATCAATCATTTTATTCAACAACGACAGTATTTTTTTTAGTATTAATTCATTTTCTTTTTAACAATGAAAAAAAAAGATGTTAATAGATGAAGATATTTAAAAAATAATAATTAGAAAAAAAAAACTATTATTTATATATTCAATTAACAATGAGTTTAATTCAAGGGTAGGAATAACCTAAATATTCGTTATTGTCACCGATATTGTATTGCTTTTCGTTTTTTTTTCTTCTCTTTCGTTTCGTTAATCAATATGAAGCTTAATGTAATATTGTATTATTGTTGTTGTTGTTGTTTTCTAGATTGTGGTATTTATTCTTTTATGTATAACATTCTATTTTTAGCCTTAATAGTTTGTTCATATCAAACAATATTATTTTAATATTAAATGTGAATAAATTTTATAATAATAATGAATTAATTAATGAACAGTATTCAATAATAATAATAATGACTGTTTGTATACAAAAACGTGATCGTTGTCGTTTATGTTTTTCATTAATTTTACGTGATCGTTCAACATTATTTTCATCAATATGTTGTCAAAAATATTATCATTTATTTAAACATATAAAACGTACAAAAATTCCAATGAAAAAAATAAATCCATTTAAAATAAATCTAACAAATCGTACAGTTTGTTTTCGTGATTTAATATTACGTTATTTACATATTAAAATTAATCCAATAAAAAATTTTTCAAATATTATTTGTTATGATTGTTCAATAATATTATTAGATATTGAACAATGTGCAAAATATTTACATAAAACAATAAAACAATTTAAAATTAAATTTAATAAAACAAATCGTCTTATAACATCATCATTATCAGCAACATTTCAAAAGAAAAATCAAATAATTAAAAATAAAAAGTTATCTAGTTTAGAATCTGATGATGATGAAGAATTTGATAATATTGATGATGATGAGGTTTGTTTAATAGAATTTTTTTCGAAAAAAAAAAAATTAAATATATTACTATAAAGTTATGCTTATAAAAATTAGTATTTTTGACTGAAATAGAATTTATAAATATCAATATTGTTTTATTACGATTGAAATAAATAATGATTTTAATATTAAAAAAACTTTTTTTTTTTTTTTGATAGTTTTCTATATCATTACGAATGTCTTAATGATATTTATCGTTAATTTTTCACGCTTTATATTTTATCCTTCATTTATGCTCGACGAATTAAAGGAGAAAATTCGTTAAAAGATAAATCACTTTTTTTTTCATACATATTACCTTATATATGATGAACATGTTTCATTTTGTATAAATCTATAAAATGATTAGTATCTATAAGTTTTTTTTTCTTGACTTACGATTATTATATTAAACCTTTATGGTGTTATCTTTTACTGATTACCTTCAGAATCGAATTTCAAGTTCGAATTTTTATACAAATCAATTATTTGTCATATGATTAATTCGATATAAAACGATGAGATTTTGTTAATAACTTTGTAAAATTATATATTATAAAGTTTGTAGTAGGACATGTTGTTGTTTTTTTTTTGAAATAGACATTAGTGTGTAATTAATAATACATAGTTATATTAAGATTATAATTTAAGAATTTTCTTAAATAAAAATATCTTTTTTTGTTTTTTTTTGTCCATAGGAATCTGATGAAGAAAATGATGATAGAAGAAAATCAATTCTACCAACAAATAGAACAACTTGTGATCAAACGAAATCTCTTGATTTTAATTCATCATCATCATTTGGTGGTGATTCATTATTACAAATTCAACGAAATAATTTAACAAATAAGAATCAGTGCAATGGTGATGATGATAATGATATTGAAGATGAAGAAGATGATGATCAAGAAGACGACGAAGACGAAGCAGAAGAAGAAGAAGAAGAAGAAATTGGATTAATTTCAAGTCCAAAAATAAAATCTAAAAAAATAAAAAAAAAAAATTTAACACAATTTTCACATAAAAATATTATATCCAATATAAATCCATCATCAACAATAAATTCATCAGATTCATCAATAAATTTACTTCAAGAAACAAATCCAAATCTACTTCCGTTACGTCTTGCCCATATGATGGCAAATGCTGCAGCTGTTGCATCATTTTCAACAGGTCAAAATAATAATAATAATAATAATACTGATAGTAATAATGTTGATACAATGATGAGTACATTTGCTAATATGCAACGAAATTTTCTATTGAAAATCTTAAGTGATCCAATGGCAGCTGCTATGTCAGCTACACAAATGAAAACTAATATTTCACCAATATCATTAATAGAATCAAATAATAAACAAAGTGGTAGTGGTAGAAAACGTAAATCAACACCAGAAAAACGTATTATTACAAATTATCGAACAACAAATAATAATGGCGATGTATAAATTTAAAAAACAAAAAAAATTCAAATATTTTCTTTTTCTTTTTGTTTTAGTCATCTCCAACAATTGAAAATGAATCAATTAGTAATTTAACTGATAATATAAGTAATCAAGATAGAATTGATCATCCATTAGAATTAACATTAAAAAGTATTCAATCATCATCAAATCGTATTTTACCAACTTCAGATGTTCAAAATCTTGTGGTATGTTAAATGAATTTTTTTTTTTCTTTTTCAAGATACTGAATAATAATATAATAAAAACTCAATAGAGAAGATCTTAGACTATTGAATCTGTCAATAAGTAATACTTCATACCACAAGGTAGCTGATAGAAGGGACAGGGGGGTCCAGACCCCCACTATTGAAAAGTAGTGGAAAAATTCTAGTGACCTGAGGGAGAGTACGGGCTCTTCGCAGCGCCAATCTTTCCTCACAGTCATCACTTTTAACGAAAAACTAGGAAATGTAAACAGTAAGTAAAGACGGCATTAACTTTTATATACTAGAACCCCCCCCCCCCCCGCGCACTTTTTTCCTTTAGGTACGTCCCTGACTGATAGATGAAATATTCTTCTTATAGATTATTAAAGATTAATTTAAAATTTTTAGTTCTTTTCAATTAGATAATATTTTTTATGTTTAATAAATATTTTTATTAGTTCATTGAAATTTTTTTCTTACAATTCTAATCGAATGAATAAACATCTAAAGAATATGATTAAAATAGTCGATTGGTTAAGAATGATATTTTATTTGGTTCGATTCTACATTGAAGTATATATATCTTTAGATAAGTCGAAAAAAAGAAAATGGAAGTCCATCGAATATCAGTCAATTTTATCCACATATTGATGAAGGTATGTAAATAAATAAAAAAAAAAACATTCTAAATCGTTTCTCATATTGCAATTGATGATTTGGAGAATAATCTGAATAAAAAAAGCATGTTGTTAACAATTCAAAATTGCAAGCTTTGATCCCTCTGATGCAATAAATGAGAAAACGAAAAAAAAAAAAACAAAATTTTTTTTTGCTTTTGTTTTTATATCTTACATAAAAATCTCTAGATCATAAAGAAGGTACGACACCGAATGATTCGTCTGTATCTCTTTCATCATCATTAAATCGTCATTCAACATTAACTAAACGACAACGTCTTTCAACAAGTGGTCAATATGATTCTACAAATATACAAAATAATTCTTCATTAATTAATATATCACAAACAACAAATGATTTATTATCATCAAATCATCATCAACAAACAATATCAAATGATGATAATAATATAAATATTCATCAACGACAACAACAACGTAAATTAGATCCACGTACATGTACTGAATGTGGTAAAGTATTATTTAGTGATAAAACATTATTACTTCATTGTCAAACACATGCAAAAAATGAAAAACAATGTTGGATATGTGGAATAAATGATGATTCAATTAAAAAACATATTATTAATGAACATGGAAATCAAAAAATTACAAATACTGGTTTTAAAGTAAAATATATATATATATGAAAAATTTTTTGTTTTTTTTTTTGTTTTAAATTTATTAGTGTCAACATTGTGACAAAGTTTTTCCTGTTTTTGCTGATTTAGAAAATCATACAAAAGAACATAGCAAGAAGAAAGTATAGTTTTAGTTTTTTTTTTATTACTATAGAAAAAAACAAACAAACTCATTGATTATTCTAGCCTTTTGAATGTCCAATATGTAATAAACGTTTTGGTCAACAAGGAAATTTAAGTTGTCATTTACGAATTCATAGTGGTGTTAAAGTATGATTTTGTATAAATAGAGAAATGAAAACAAAAAAAAACTAATCATTCTTGTAAATTTGTTTTTGTTTTTTTTTGTTACTTTAAAGCCATTTACTTGTTCAAGTTGTGGTAAAGCATTTCGTCATTCGAATAGTTTACGACGTCATGCACGAACAGTTCATTCAGCATCACGTGGTTTAACAACAACAAATTCACTTCTTCTTCCAAGTACTACAACATCATTATCAAATGATATAAAAGGTGAAACATATGATGATGCACCACCATCATCATCATTTATGATACCATCTGATGATAATTCATCATCAACAGGTGGTATACCATCACCTTCAATATCTAATGCACAAGTTGATAGTGATTCACACGAACAATCGGGAACAAATTGATCAGTTGAACATTGTTTATTCATTGGCAATACGAATCGTTTAGTTTATGTTTTATGTGTGTTTGGCCTCTAGTTCTCTACATGTTTATGTGAATTTGTACAGTTTTATCTGATGTACTAGTGAACAGTATTTCTCGTTTCTTTTTTTTGTTTCTGTAGAATGGCCTTTTCTCTTTTGTTTTTGTTTTTGTTTTTTTATTTGAGAACAGTGACTTCATTTATCTTGTGTTTTCTTTTATGGCAGTATTTTTCCATCATTTCAGTCAATACCATCATTATCGTTTGTGTTTCTGTTTATGATGCCGGTGATAACATAGATCAGAAAACAAAACAAAAATAAGAGAAATTTTCTATTATTATTCGAACAGTGTTTATTATATGCGTATCGTTCCGGTGTGTGTGTGTATGTCTGAGAGAGAGAGAGAGGAAGAAAAAAAAAGCATATAAAGAAGAAGACATGTTACCATCGGCTGATTTGTCCTCCCCCCTCCGCCGTTTGTCCCCCTTCTAACTTTGTTCACTCCCGGTCCTTAATTTTTCATATTGTTTGTGTCCTTTTTCATTCAACTTTCTTTTTCTTTTTTTTTGTCTATTCTATCTAGTCTGGATATTTTTCTATTTGTTTCATTGTATACATATATGCTCCATTCGTTTATGGTTAAGGGTTCTATTTTGTCTATGCAACTTGTCATGTATGTCTTGGTTCTTCTTTTGTTGCTCTCTTTTTCTTTTTCTTTTTTCTTTGTCAAAATCATGTAATTCTTTGTAGCCAATGTTCTGTTTATTATTATTAGTTGATACTTTATTTAAAAAAAAAAAATAACTAGAATGTTGCGTCCTTTTTCTTTTCTTTCTTTATAGTGCAACACTAGATCTTTTGGTGCTGCTAATGTTTTCTTTCGTTATATTATTACTACTTACAAGTGTATCTCGCGATTATATGTAACTTTTTTCTCCTTTTTTTTTTTTTTTGTTTGGTTATTCAATCTCCTTAAGTTTTCTTTTTGTTTAACTTGCTATTATTCTTATAACTACTTATATCATTACACTACTATTACAGTTTCTTGAGAATATTTATGTGAAAAACGAGAACGCGTGCTATTACTACTATTACTGTTGGTTCGAATAAATTCTAAATTGGAATATATATATACATAAACGAGAAAAATATTGAAGTGTTTGTTTTTGTCTTTTTTTTAATTTTTAACCTGTTTGAATATGATAAAAGGAATAGGTTTCAATCTTTTTTTGATGAAATATGATCTAAAAGAAGTGTTGAAGTAGAAATTGAGATCCCTATCCATAGATTATGACAGATACCTTGGTAATTGATGACAGATTGAAAGAATAGCGAAGAAATGTATCCTAAAATAGATAGAATAAAGAAATCTCCTGTGAATAACCACAATAGTTATATCGTGTTTCACATTATCTATTTTCTTAGGTTAAATTTTTCATGTTTTCGCGAATCTTAATGAATTTTCTATTTACTATCTTCAAGAAAAAAAAAAAAAGTTAATCTTTCTTTTATTTTTGGTTTTTTGTAGATGACTGGATTTACAAGCAAATGATTTTTAAACAAATGACAAAGAAGAAGAACTTGTAAGTTTATTTACAAGATCAAAATAAATAATAATAACGAGCAGGCAGGTTTTTTTTTTTTTATTATTTTTTCTTCATTGAGAATATTAAAAAACGTTTTTTTTTATACGAAAAGTCATATTTTTATATTTGTAGGATTGTACATATTGAGTGATGATTAAGAACAAATTTATTCTTCTTTATCTTTTGATATGTTTTGAATTCGAACATGAGATGATCAACTATTGATATGATTGAGCAGCATGAGTCAAAAAGTATATTCTATCTTGTTATTTGATTTATGTATAAAAAAAAAAAAAATTTAATTAAATAAAAACAAAAAAAAAAAAATAATAATTATTTTATATTCAGTTAGATTTTGAGAATTATTTATTGAATGTTATTCATATGATTTTATTTGATATATATCTATATATATGTATTGTAGAAATTTAAACTTCTATTTTTCTACTTGTCATGGCTGATATTGAACCTGTAAAACAGAATCAAGATCTTGAACCAGAACAAAAACGTAAAGTTTTTATTGGAAGTTTATCATATAATATAGATGAGAATGCATTTCGTGATTATTGGACAAAATTTGGAGCAGTTATGTAAGTTAATTTTTCTTATAGTTTTTTTTTTTTATTAATTTTTATATTTTATTTAGAGAAGCATCTATTTTACGTGATCGTGATGGTCATTCACGTGGTTTTGGTTTTGTTACATTTGCTGATCCATCAAGTGTTGATGCTGTTATGCAAGCACGACCACATACACTTGATAATCGTGTTGTAGAACCTAAACGTGCAGTAAGTTTAAAAAAAAAAACTTATTAAATTATCATGTTTTATTATAAATTAAGATACCACGAGAAGAAACTCATAAACCAAACATGCAATTATCAGTTAAAAAACTTTATTTAGGCGGTGTTAAAGAACCAATAACAGAGAATGATCTTAAAGATTATTTTAGTAAATTTGGTACAATAGTTGATGTTGTTGTTATGAAAGATCGTGATGGACAATATCGAGGGTGTGTTTAAATAAATATTTTTTATAGTAATGATTCGTATTATTCTTTCGTTTTTTTTTTTTATAGTTATGGTTTTGTTGAATTTGATGAGTAAGTTATTCTTGAATAAAAGTATTTTGTGGGATAAGATAGTCATCTTTCATTTGGAACAGTCATCTATATCATTTTGTAGAACAATATATACGGAAATGAAGTATCATATTCTTTTTTTCTTTTGTTCCTGATGAATTTAAATTTTAAATAGTCACAGTGAATCATCTTATCCGATAGAAGCCTGCATTTAGTTCCTTTTCTTTTTTCTTTTATATAGTTATGATCCGGTAGATAAAATAATACTTGAAAAAAGTCATGTTGTATGTGGTCGACAATTAGATGTGCAAAAAGCTCAATCACGAGATGGTTCACAACGTTCTGGTAATACACGATCTCGACAAGGACCACCATCAACATCAAGATCAAATTATAATAGTGGCGGTGGTAATGGTGGTGGTAGCGGTGGTGGTGGTGGTTATAATAATTATCAACAAGATAATATGAATGATCCATTTGGACAAATGCCAAATAATAATTTTAATGGATATGGATCAAATTTTAATGAAGGCAATGGTAATTGGACATCATTTGGACAAGGGTAAGTTTAAAATTTTATTATTTATTTTAAGTTTTTTCAACGATTTTATTATTAAGATATGGTCAACAAAATGTTGGTGGCCCTATGCGACGTGGAAATATGGGTGGTGGTGGTGGTGGTGGTGGTGGTCATGGTCGTGGTTATGCACCTTATAATGGTCGTGGTGGTGGTGGTGGTCGAGGTCGAGGTGGTGGAAATCGAGGAGGTCCATCATGGACTTCATGGAATTAAGATGAATACTGACCTTGTTATATAATGATGTTCTATTAAGAATTCCTTTTTTTTTCCTTTATTTGTTATCGTTCATTCTGTATGTATATCATGATATTGATTAAAAACAAAGCAAAGCAAAATAAAAAAAAAAAAGTTATCATTGATGGAATCATCTTCTATTATTTTGCATCGTTTACAATCAAAAAAAAAAACATTTCAAACTTGATCGTTATTTGCTAACGGATTAAGACAAGCAGCGACACAAGAAAGTTTTACTATACAATTGAACATGTAATAATCAGTTATATTTTGATTCGAGTCCGATTATGAAAAGTGTTCCTATGCAGATTATTAGTCTATAATCATATGAGTATAGATTTTAAAAACTATCTAATCATTCGATCAGATGGGCATAAGACAAAATAAAGAATTTCTCATCTGATATATATATATTGACAATCTTGTTTCATCTTTTATTTTCTTCTTATTGATCATATCTCTGTTTATTGTTTTCTATCATTAGACAAAATCTTTACCAATATTCTATGGATATTCACCGAATAATTGTTTCTTTTTGTTAAAAAATATATATATATATATATGCTTATTATCATTTCATTAGATAGGTGGAGAGACATAATTGATTCAATGTCTTTGAAGTTCATTGAATCAAATAGATACTCATCGATTTGACAACAAAATAACAAGACAATGTATACATGTCAAATATATATCTATATGATAGACATAGATCGCATTCGATATGTTGACCTTTTGGCCTAAATGATTTTTTGCTTGAAACTCGATCTATTGATGGTGATTAGTGTATATATATATATGTGTGTGTGAGGGAGAGGGAGAGTTCATACATACTCTTGGATATAAACACAAATGAGACGTGCCTGTTGTTATAGTTAAAGTTTCTATGGGGTGTGGCTGCTTGTCGTCAGCAAAAGGTTGTATAGATCATTTACATTCACACAATTCAATTGACAACATTAATTAGGCGCATATTTTAGTTGATCAAGAATCATTAAAATAAAAACTAAACATCAGAAATATGACAATATTTCTTATGTTAATAATTATTATTATGAAAAGAAAAAAAAATGAAACGTGCAATATAAACAAATAGAGAAACAAAACTAGAAATAAATGAAGATCTGCCTATTTCGTATCGATAATTTATCAATAGATATGACTTATTAATGATGTTGCACTATTATTTTTTTTTGTTTTACTGTCCATATCAAATTAATAATAATCGCCTATTTTTTTTTGACTAGAATTTTGTTTCTCAAATAAAAAAAAAAAAAGAAAACAAAAGAAATATCCGTTGTATTTTGTTTTGTTTTTTACATTTATGATGAACATGTTGTAGTTGAAGGTGAAATAAAATTGTACAATGAATGATGCTGAAACATATTTGTAGCATATTCTTTCATTTGTATTAAACGATATTTTTCTGTATCAGCTTCAGCTAAACGTTTTTCTTTTGCTCGACGATTTTGAAACCAAATCTAAAATAAAATATTTTTGAAATGTTTCTTTTTTTTAAATCATACTTTAACTTGTGTTTCAGTTAAATTAAGTGATGATGAAAATTCAGCACGTTCAGCTATTGTTAAATATTGTTTATCACGAAATTTTTTTTCTAATGCAAGTAATTGTGATGTTGTAAATGGTGTTCGTGGTTTACGATTTTGTTTATGTTTACGTAATGAACATATTTTAGCATTTATTTTAGGTAATTCATTATTACGTGCTTTATCAATTATATCTGCATCAGGTAACCAAGATAATCTTGTTATAATACTATTTTTACCTATTGATGATGATGTTGGTGAATATTGAAAACTTTCATTACTTGTTGAATCAATTAATGAACGTATACTAAAATCAGTTGGACGTTTACTTTTTTTAAATGGTGGTTCCATAGATTTTTATTAGATATGAATAATTTGTGAAATCAAATTCTAGCTTTCTTCTTCTTTTTTTTTTTTCCTATCGTCGAAAGAAAAAATATGATTGGTTTGAGCATTGAACTAAGACGAAGAAAATTATTTATTGGACGAATAAAAAAAAAAGAAGCGAGAAAGAAAAAAAAAAAAAAAGGTGATTATTTCTTTTTCTTTCTCTTCGATTGATTGGGAAGAAAGCAAAAAAAAAAAAGGAAACAAGAGCTTATCCCTGAGTGACGGAAATATGGATTTTTTTTTTAGTATCAAAGGAAATTGCCTTTCTTTAGGCAGCCTCGAAAAAAAAAAAATACTTTTTAATTATCATACACACACTCTTTCTTTTATGAAGGGCAAAGAAATAAGTAGAGGATATTAATCAAAATAAAAAAATGACATATCAAATGATCATTATTCGTTTATATTAGCAAATCCGAATAATTTAGTTACCTACCAGGTAAAATGACAAATTCATCTTTGATTTTATATGGTTGGCTACTGTTTTTTTTTTCTTCTTCTTGATTTCCAAATAATAAACGAAAAAAAAAAAATTCTATCATTAAATGTGATTGATTTGATGATCTCTATATTAGATGTTGGCTTAATGGAAGTGAATCGTTTGATGAAAACGATCTAGATCCATCATAATATTCTATTTCTACCCAGATGCCCTAATGAACGGATATCGGCATCTTTTAACAAATACAGATAATATATATATACAAGTCGTATAATTATATCATAAAAAAAAAACAGATGAGGTTTAAAAAGAGTAGAATTAAAACTATGCAAAAATTAAAGTATTAAATTCAATACATTTTTATTTCATCGTCAGTCAAATGTCAAATGGTTATTATATTCATTGATGATTCAATGATTTGGAAAAGATTTTATAGAGAAAGATAGAATGGTTCATTTATTCTTACAGTTAAATAATCATTGTTTTTTTCTCACTTCTAATATATATATAGAAAAGCACATCGTCACGATTTATTAATAAAAAAAAAAACGAAAATGTAAATTTTAATTCTTCATTTCTCATATTTTTTTTGTTTTTTCATAAAGTAGACAATGCACATGTCAATTGAATATTTATTCACTTGAATCGATAAATTTTTGACATTTTCAAACATGCAAAGCAACTTTCAATTGACTTTATATATTTTAAAATAAAGTATGACAACAATATAATTCAGATAAATTAATGGTCATATCTTCATCGTGTAGGCAAAAAAAAAAAATGATAAATGAGAAAGACAGAGACAATTAACGATATATATATACATAAAATACTATTTAACAAACCATATTTTTATGAATCAATTAGGGAAAAAGAAAAATCTTT